AAAAAAAAAAAAACCCAATATTCCAACTCATTTACCATTTCACAAGACAGATCATTCAATGTGTTCATCATTTTAACCTTACCTCAGTTAATTTCAGATTCAAGAAAAAAACCACTTAATATTTGCTCCTGTAGGGTACACTGTAAAATTCTATCCTGTCCAGAGGCATGGGGAGGATTTGGAAGCGCACTTACTAAGTTCTGCTTCCCTACCTTTCGTTACTGTTTCCAGCTTGCTACTCCACTACACCAACCACTGTCATAGCCTCAGCCCTTATTCGCCAAACGAGTTTAAGGAACTGCCTTGGGATACTGAGACATCTACAATTCCATATTCCAGATTCCTTACCTGTATCTTTTATTGTCCACAGGCACAATGTCCATTGCTATATAGTATTGCTGGTGGGGATCCAGGCCAGTGATTTTCACTCTCATGGCAGGAAACATCCTCCTGTGGAGATGAACAGGGTCGTGAGCTTAGGAGAGGAGGAAGGTAAAGTGGAGTAGAAACTTAAAGTGTCTTCTCACTGGGTATTTTAAGCACATCAAAGTTCAATATCCAGTAATTCCCTGAATTGACTAATTATGATTTTACTGTAAATGATCACTGTGAACAATGATAAAGATCAATATTGCTGAAATTGCATCTTTTATTAGCTTAAATTTAACCTACCTCATGATTCACACACTCAAACATACCACGCTCTGCTTTATATTTTAATTAATTTTTAGTAGTATATATAAAATAGTTACTGAGTTTATTTGAACATTATCACTGAAAATTAATTTCTCAAGAAAATAACAAAGCAAAATTAATTGCTGCTAGTCTCCAAACAAAGGGCCACTAAAGCTTTTTTTTCAGTGCATAAAACTGAACAAAAATTTCAGCAATTTCTCAGGCTGTCAATGTGTGTGTCAGAGGAAGGACCCCATGGAATAAGAAGCAAATACCAAACAAAGTCTAGTGGCCTCTGGGCAATACCTTGCTTCCACCACAATGGCTTGTTAAACTTGCCAAAACAAGTGAGGTCAGGATATGGCACTTTATAGCTTCTCTCATAACTGAAGAGAGGAGAGGGCACAGCTCAAAAGAGGTATTGGATTTCAACAAGTCTAGAGTAAAGCTTGCCATTCTCCCAAAAAACTCCAAGAAGAAATAAAAGACACCAAGCTTATTTGCATCAAACCAGACATTAAAAAGTGCTCAGTTCAAACATTTAGATTGCCCTGAGTGTGCTTTAGGGTCCTTGTACACAAAATACAACATTAAGCTTAACCATCTGGGGCTAGTTAATCGAGCTGAGCCGACCACGGTGCTAATGAGGTCAAGGTCACAAGCTTGATCCACATATAGCCTAATTGGCTTTGCTCCATTTCACGGCCATAGACCATGCCCTGACCTCAGACAGTCGTCTTGCAAATGTATGCAAGGCTTTCTATGCAAGTCTCATGTTCAGTCCTTACTCAGGAAAAGTAACCTATAAAGCAAATATTTCTGAGAACAATTATGTGCCATGAGCATCACATTTGAGAGGCAAGAGATCTTTGATAAGGATGGTAATGAATTCTGAAATACTTGCACCAAATGCATAGCCATTCCTCCTTCACACTTGATTATTTTCCAGTCATTTTCTATTTTCTCTTCCCATCCTCACAACTTTAATGAGGAGGCCTTGAATTTTAGTCTTACCAATAAAATGCTATGAGTGGCTATACTCAGTAACATTCACTGTGAGCTACACACTTTGATCTATACTAATTCTTCCAAACATCTGAGAACTGAAGTCTATACTTTTAAACACAGATCAATAATTGCCTTCTTAACAACAAGAATTATTATTCTCCTCTATGTTTTAATTACTAGAGGGCATCTGGTGAGAGACAGAAAGAAAACTTACTATTGGAGGCAAGAAGATGTGCTTCCTCTTAGCCACCTCCAAGGGTTGTACTACACTGAAAGTAATAGATTTATTTTTGCCTTAATAACTTCAAAGAAACGGCACTAGATATTTTTAACTTGATAGTCTTTTGGGGACAGTTATGTAATCCTAAGTACTCAAATTCTAAGATGACTTTGGGTAAATAATTCCATTCCTATCATCTGTAAGACAAAGCAAAGGCAGTAGATTAGATTGACTGCTCACCTGCTTTAAAATTCTTCATGAATTTTCTGAACTCTTTAGGTACTGCCCATTTTTGTGTTAGTATTTTAATACTTTATACAAGATAAGTCATAGAACAATTAAAAAGAAACTATCTTTTATATCTTATAAAAGGCACAGTGTTTGGTATTATTATTATGGCTAAATTTAGGTCAGTTCTGTCTTGTAAATCCATTAATCCCAACATGCAGCTCTGTCCATGGTGCTGATCACACTGATTAGTTGAAGTTTCCCAAATTGAGGGCTCTACACAAGCAATCATTACAAATCAGCAGGAGGACAGCTTGGTGTGTAGCAAGATGCACATGGTGAAGAATATTTCCCTAGTTGTAATAAGACATGTAACCCTACCTACCTAACAAGGAAAAACAGGACTTCAATACAACTAAGAAAAGAAATTGCTAGGGAATATTGGTATTGCCGAGAATCAACAGGATTTTGTGAAAATGTATGTGCAGAAGCCCTGAAATTAAACACGGAAAGGTTGGAGGTGCACCAATGAATTGAGCTCCAAGGTGTGTAGAGTGAGGGGTGGTATCAGGAACAAGACTGTTTGGCAAACACAGACCCAACAAAAAAATATATTAAACCCTACTATGCCTCTCTCTGTTCAACCTCTCTATCAAAAGAAAATTCCCTTAATTTCTTTGTTTTCCTCCAATTTTCAACATCATAAAAGTAGAAGAGGAGAGCACTAAAATCCAGGTAATAAGAGGTGGCACTGAAGATAATTCTCTTTCAAAGTTGATCTACACCATAAGCCTTTCCTTACTACCAGAAGTTTCCATGCAATACATGTATCAGGAGGTAAACAAGCAGAAATTCAGGTTCATTTAATTCATGGTTTTCAGAATTTTTATTGAATTTGTTGGTTTCTCTATATCCATAGAGATGAACTATCCATAATAAGTATTTCCATGAAATAATATGCAAGCAATGAGGTGGCTGGAGCCTTTTCATTCTCTTGATGTATGCATCTATATAATATATAGGTCTCCGTTGAGAAATAAAACAGTGTAGTCATGATTCATTTCAATAGCTATTCTTATATACTGAAAGGCCTAAGCTGAATTCAGTTTGATCTAAATCACTTTTATTTTGAGGCATAGGTAAGAACTATAACTACTAAAGGGGAGGATTAATAAACAATTGCGGTCATTATTTTAGAGCAACCCAGATGCATGAATTTTGGAGCTCCCACCACTCAATAGCTCTTGCCTTCATCAATATGATTAGCTTTTTTCAGTCTTCCTTGCCTTGTAACCATACAGAACAGTCATATTTCACTTTGTAGGATTCTTGTGAAGTTCAAGTACTATGTGTATATTCAGTGCCTGGCCCAAAATAGATGCATAGTCATAGAAAACCGGAAGTTGCTAGTAAAGTCGTGGTTTGACTAAAGGTGCCTCTTTTTAAGAGAGAGAGAGAGTGGTTTCCAAACCTTTATTATCTTGGGTAACTAGTTTCACAAGAGCCTCTCCTAATCATCATGAAGTTTATATGATAATTTCAAGCCAACAACAAAACACTCAATGGGTGTACCAAGTCCCATTCTTTTGAAGGTGTTTGGTTACTTTAGTCTTTGAAGATGTATACTGTTTTTAGAAAAGGTTTTTTGAAAATATTGCACAGGGGGTTAAGTACTTCCTTTGGACATAACTCTTCTCTATTATATATCAAGAATTAGACAAAGAAATATGTTTGAAGATGGGATATGATTGTGAATGTAGAGGTGATGGTAGATTTGAGTGCTTAGAGAAAAATAGCAAAATAACCACAGACACAGCAAGACCACATGAGCAAATATAAGTGTAGAAAAAGAACTTCAAGATGCTTGAGCTTTGCTGATTCTGCCACAGATAAGTGGAAGTGGGAATCACGGGGCCACTTCTGTAGAGCCTTTGGGTTTGGTCACTCAATGGAACATCCTTACCTGCCTGCTTTGGTGATGATCATCTCCGTTCCAATATCATGGAACCTCTTCCAGAGGTCAGCACATTGTAACTCCACCTGAATCTCCTCCATGGTAGACATGGCAGCAGGCACTGGGCCTGCAGCACCAGACGCCAGGTCAGCGTGAGTGCCGAAGGAGCAGGAGGTCCGCTCGGTGAGCACCTCGGAGTCTGACCCAGTGCTCTGCTCAGAATCTGAAAAGGGAACAATCAAGACTGAGGTGAGAAGCTGCCCCGTTGCCCCCATACCTGACTTTAAAAGAAGGGGAAGTGGGAGACACGGTGGGGTTTGGGGGAGGAGTGAGCAAAAGAAGACTTGAATCTGGGAAGTTCCAGAGCACAGAGCTTGGGGAATTTTATTATTTATTTTACGGTCTGTTTTTGTGATTTATGACCTCCTTTCAGGTTTCATGTTCCAATGTGACATCTGGCATTTTAGTAAGTTTTAGCCATAGTTGAAGAAAATTGGTCTGCAACAGGTAAAATAAAAAGTACCAATGTCACCATGTGGGAAGAGATGAGGCCAAGCCGGAGTGACAAAATAAATGTCACATTAAATGATGCCCACAAGCACAGACTCTCTACATCTTGATTAGACTGTCTGCTTGTTGCCCCCAGTGTCATGTCTTCTCACTCCCTGACACTTGGCATCACAAGTTATTTTAAAACATAGAAATATTTCTTCCACCCCTCTATTCCCTGATCACCAGTATAATGAAAATAAGAGCTTTGCTGTCTTTATAAGCAGTATGTCACACATTTGAATTAACAGTTTTTCCTAGGCCTCAATCGGACGGTGCATTTTTGATAGGAAAAAAAAATTCTTTTGTGAGGCAAAGATTTAACCATATGGAAAAAGTTACTAGGAAAAGCAGCTGAAGCAGAGAGAATAAATGGGGTCAGGAGACACCTTGATTGGCTTCTGAGGAATGGGTGAGAGGAGGAGTGAACGAAACAGAAAGGTGGGATTCAAACCAAATAAAAGCTGCATCTGATTCCTGGCCACACAGGGTTTTCTTGTGTCTTATGTCCTCAGGAAGAGGAGGTGGGCAAAGGGACCAGGAGGTACTAGGGGGGTAGGAGAAGGCTGAAATGAGATTTTCTAGATGATTAAGCTTTACTTTCAGGAACTTGATATCAAAACTCCTGAATCCTAAGACTGTCCACATTCAAGTCATCTTGATATACTCTTCTTAGGTCACATGATATCAAGCCTCAGGGAACCATTTATCTAACCAGCCACTCAATAGCACAGATTCTGATAACATTCCCTGGAAATAAATATGTGCATAGAGGCTTTAGGAACAACATAATGCTTCGATAAATGACATTTTTACTTTTCTTCCAAGAAGATCATTTACTAACTTACGTACTACTTACTTACTTATGTACTTTTTAGGTATTTTTTCAATACCTAAACAACAACCCTTGCTGTCCAGTGACTTCCTATGTAGACCAGGATGGCCTTGAACTCACAGAGATCTGTCTGCCTCTGCCTCTCCAGTGCTGAAATTAAAGGTGTGCGCCACCACTGTCCAGCTATAGCCCATGTATCTTGACCATATGAATTTCCCTGTATCTTTTCATTTCTCCTCCTCCCTTTCTTCCTACTTCCTCCCTCTATTCTCATATATGTATATAAGAATGTTTATATATGAGAATATATACATATAAGTCCATATAGAAGATCCACAAATGAGATAAATACACAAAACTTGACTTTCTGAGTCTGGTTTATTTTACTTAATATGATGATTATCTCCAATTGTATCCATTTTCCAACAGACAATGATTTCATTCTTTGTTATGACTGGTTAAATTCCATTGTGTACATAGGTCACATACTCTTGTTTTATTCATCTGTTGATAAATGGTGCTGCAGTAACCATGGACTTGCAAGTATCTGTGTGATGATGTGGTTTACAATTATTTTGGTATATATACCCAAAGGGGGTACAGCTAGGTCATATGGTATTCTATTTTTGAGATTTTGGAGGAACCTCCACACTGATTTCTATAGTGAGTGGGCTAATTCCCATTCCCACCAGCAGTGTATAAATGTTGTTTTCCCCCACATTCTTTCCAGAATGTGTTTTTTTTCTTATTTCATTAAAATATTGTAATGATATTTTGCTTATGTTTTAACAGATGAAGCTTGTCTGAAGGTCAGAGTACAGAGCTAAACAATTAGAGGTCAAGGAGTGGTAGCACACACCTTTAATCCCAGGACTAGGGAGACAGAAGCAGAGGGATCTCTGTTAAAGGCCACTCTGAGCTACACAAGATGAAATCTGTCTAACAGAGAAACAGAGCTCACACAAAGGTCTTCCCAGCCCTTGGAATCTCACGCCATTAATCCCAGCACTAAGAAGGCTGGGACAGGAGTGGCATGCCTGGGTGGAGAGAGGAATAGAAGGCAGAAGGAGACAGGAACTCAGTGCAGTCTGAGGTTTGGTGGAGACAGATGGAGTCTGGTGATGCAATCTGAGTACAGGATCGTCCATTCAGTCTGAGCATTGGTAAATGTAAAAGAACTCTCTAGTGGATGGCCTCTTGGCTTCCCTGATCTTCAGCATTAACCCTGTATCTGACTCTGGATTTTTATTATTAAGACCAACAAGCATCCATGCTACAAAATATAATCACATCTTTTCTCTTCTCCCTTCTGTTCCTCTCTCCCACGTGTCCCATGCCCCCAACTCCCTCTTAAATTCACGGCCTTTTTTTTCTGCATTTGCTGTATATTGATAGATATATGCAAATAAATGTATAAGTATGGCCTGTTGAGTCCATCTAGTGTTGCATATATATATATATATATATATATATTTAGGGATGACTACTTGGTGTCCAATAACATTTGGGAGGGGTTATCCCTAGGGAAGACTAGTTATCTCTCCTTCTGCAATTGCTAATTACCCTTAGCTCTTTAACTAGGGGCAGGACCATGTGAGATGTCTCCCATCCATGTTAGCATGTCAACTGGTGGTGTCATTATTAGGTCTTGGTTAGGCAACCACAGTATTGAAATTTCATGGGTGTAGCTTCTCTATTGTGTCTATAAGGCAAAATCTTACAACAGACTTCCTAGTTCTGATATCCATTTTGACTCAGGTAAGATGGAATTTCAGTTTTATTTGTATTCCCCTGATGATCAGGTATGCTGAGCATTTTTTTCATGTTTATTGGTCACTTGTACTTCATCTTTTGAGAACTTCTTGTTCATTTCATTAGGCCACTTATCAGTCGGGTTGTTGGAGAGTATTTGGATGGGTAGCACTTGGTTTTCAGAGTTCTTTATATATTATGTATATTAATCTTCTGTCAGACATATAGTTAGCAAAGATTTCCCCCATTCTGTAGGATGTCTCTTCGCTCAATTACTGTTTCCTCTGTTACACAGAGCTTTCTATTTTTATAGAACCCCATTTGTCCTTCTTTGTGTCATTTTCAGAGTTGTCAGGGTCCTTTTCAGAAAGCCTTTGCTTCTGCCGCTGTGTTTAAATACCTTTCCTATCTTTGCCTCCAATAGTTTCAAACTTTTGTGTCTTTTATACACTTTAAATTAATTTTGTACAAATGTAAAGATTTTGATCTACTTTTATTCTTCTACATGTGAATATACATTTTCTCAACACCATTTCTTAGAGAGACTGCCTTTTTGCCAACATATGTTTCTGGCCTCTTTGTCAAAAAACCAAGTCATTCCAGCTATGTAGGTTAATTCTGGGTCCTCCATTCCATGTGGTCATGCCAGTATCATTCTAGTTTTGTTACTGTGGCTCTGTAGTACAATTTTAACACAGTATTCCAACATATCCTGCAATGTTCTTTGGGCTCATAATCACTTTGACTATCCAGAATCTTCTATACGTCCATATTAATTTTAGGATTTTTTTCTATTTTTGTGAAGAATGTCATGGTGTTCCCACATCAGATACATTAATCTGTAGATTGCCTTTGGTAAAATAGCAATTTTCACAGTATTAACTCTTGTCAATATATGAGCACAGCATAATGTTTTGATATGTTTACAAATTACAGTGTTTAAATCGTATTAAACATGTTCTTGGACATCTGTCCTTTCTTTATGGTGAAAACTGTCAAGCCCCTCTTTATGCCTTGCAGAAGTATGTGTATGTGCATGTGTGTGTTTGTGTGTATGTTAAATTTCTGTCTTTATTCACCCTGCTGTACATTAGAACACCAGAACTCGGGCTAAAAAGATGACTCAGAAGTTAGGAGTGCTTTCTGCTCTTCCAGATGACCCGAGTTCAATTCCCAGCACCTGTGTTAGACCGCTAGCCATCACCTGTAACTCCAGCTCCAGGGGATCCCTTGGCCTCTTCTGGCCTCTGAGGAAACTTCACACACGGCATACATTCATACAAACACACACACAAAAATAATAAAAACATTTTTAAAATCTAGAACAACAGAATGTATTGTTTCTCTCTGAGTGTAGCCTAGTAGCCATTGATGAGGTTTCCCATCCCTCCTTCCCTCTACTCCTAGGAGTTTCAGGTAACCACGATTCTCCCCTCAGTTTCTAAGACAGTGATTTCTTTAGATTCCACATGTAAGTGAGATTATGCATGTTTGTCTTCCTATTTCTGGATTCTTTTAGTGAAACTAGTGATCTCCAGGTCTATTTGTTACTGCAGATGGCAGGACTTTGTTCTTCTTATAGTACTATAGTATTTCATTGTGTAAATGTTCCACATTCTTTGTACTCATTTGTCAGTTGATGGACACTTAGGTTCTTTCCAGTTCTTGGCTGTTGTGACTAAGTGTAGATGTCTCTTTGACATGTTGACTTAATTTCTTTGCATCTATACTCTAGGTAGAGTTTTTTTTTTGGTCAGGACCATGATCAAATCTGTTCCACCAGCCACTTCCCAAATAACCACTAAAAGACTTATTATTTATAAATGTTCAGCCAATAGCTCAGGCTTATTATTAACTCTTACAACTTAAATTAACCTTAACCAACTTCTATTAATATTAGTGCTACCTAGAGGCTCATGACTTTTACCTCTCCTATGTGTGTGAACATATGTCATTGTGACTGGTTGAATAAAGTAGCTGACTGGTCACTAGCTGGACAAGATAAGTTAGGTGGGAGAATCAGACTAAGGACACTGGGAAGAGGAAGAGCAGAGTCAAAGGAGTTGCCAGACAGACAGAAAGGAAAC